ATTATTCAGTTTTTTTAAAAAATATAGCCTGGCCTCCTCCCCAAACACCAATTACTTACCTGTCCCCAAGCATACAGGTTATTGTGTGTCTGAGATGGGTTCACTTTGGACAGAAGGAATCGAGCCTTTAAAAAAAAAAGGGCAGAGATTAAAAGCGGTGTTAATATTAGTGTTATAGAAAAATACTTTCCACACTTTTGTTAAATTAGGAATTTTTTACACGTAGAAAGCCATTTCTTTAGTCTAACCCCAACGATTCTCCATGTATTAGGTTCCCAGAATGTAACATGTATTTTGTCTTGGCAATCCTCTTCTTTTACACCAACATATTTTGACCAGTCATTTAAAAAGAAGTCATTATTTGGAAGTCTACTTGCATGTCAATTTACATTACCACATTAAACATTAACCACGCTGTTGGGATTCAGAGCCGTAAAAATGCAGCACAAAACCAACAGAGCATCAGAGCTGGAGGTGGACTGGCTCACCTGACTGCCTCCGTGCTCCGTGTTGATGTAACGTGGCATTGGGAAGCGCGCCTGCAGAATTTCTTGAGCATCATCCAGTGGCGCCTGCAGAAGGTGCTTGAAGTTTTCGTACTCAGGCATGTCCTGGTACCCAGCTTTCTGCCACTGGGCTATGGTCTGCACCAAAACAGACGAACCACAACTACCGTGGAATCACTGTGATGAAGGTCTCCTACGACGCTGGCGTTCTAACACTACCACCCCGCCCCCACGACTTGTTTCCAGCTACGAAGTCTTGTGTCAGAAAGACAAGTTTCAGAAGGGAGCAGAGCAGAGCTGACTAGTCAGCAAAGAGGGGCACCCAGGACACCGCCACCCACTCGGTTCTCCCAGAAATGTTTCAGTCACATCTCCCCTCTCCCTCCTAACTGTAACTAAAAAAGAAAACAATGCAGAGAGAAAATGCAGTAAGAAGGTGTAACGAGAGACTGATGGGTCTTACAAACAGAACTGTTATTACGACCCCAGGAAGAGGCGTCCCTCTGCAGCCTGCTCTCCGCCTTCCCACGTTTTGTTGTCCAGCTCTTGATTTCTGACTGACTGCGGCTTGGAGGAAACGCCCATAAACTCACTTGGGTCCAAGAGCCCACAGGAATGCCTATAACGCGCAGGCTTAGGACTTCTGCTGTTGTTGTTGTTAATTTTTCTTATTGACGTATAATCAGCTACAATGTGTCAGTTTCTGGTGTGCAGCATATGTCCCAGTCATGCATATGCATACATGTGATTTTCATTCAGGTTATTACAAGACATTGAATATAGCTCCTTACGCTATACAGAAGAAATTTGGTTTTTTACCTATTTTTATATATAGTGGTTAACATTTGCAAATCTCAAACCCCCAAATTTATCCCTTTCCAGCCCCTACACATAGGACTTCTGAAGGGCAAGAGTGACATCATTGGTCTTTGTCTTTACGACCTGTAACTTGCACACAGAAGGTGCTCAATAAATGTGTGAGTGAGCAGGATGGGGGCTGTGGTCAGGGACGTCTACACGGGATGAGCTGAAGGCAAAGGAAGCCCCTAAAGGAGCCTGAAGCCTCGGGAGCAGCAGGTGCCCTGGCGTCGCCGGCAAGCGGTTGGCAGGGTGGATGTTAATACGCTGAAAAAATTGTGTTTAAAGTTGTAAAATGCCTGTTAGTATAAGAAAATCATTTCATCCGAAGGTATTAAGGAAAGTCTGAAACACAATTCCTAGCTTTTCAGGACATGTGAAATCACTTCTAAGTTACAGACACTCAGAAGTCAAGTCAATTGCCAAAACAATGAAAAAAACACACTAATCAGAAAAGATACGTGTACCCCAATGTTCACAGCAGCATTATTTATAACAGCCAAGACATGGAAGCAACCCTAGTGTCCATCCACAGATGAACAGATAAAGAAGATGCGGTGTATGTATACAATGGAATACTACTCAGATATTAAAAAACAAACAAAACAAAAACACAAAAAAACTCCGAAATTCTGCCTGTTGCAGCAAGATGGATGGACTTGGAGGGCATTATGCAAAGTGAACTAAGTCAGAGAAAGACAAGTGCCAAATACTTCATGTTATCACTTGTATGTCCATTCATGTTGCTGCAAATGGCATTGTTTCATTCTTTTTTATGGTTGACCCATATTCTGTTGTGTGTATATACCACATTTTCTTCATCCTTTCTTTTTTGATGGACACTTAAGTTGCTTCCACGTCTTGGCTATTGTAAACAGCGCTGCTGTGAACACTAGAGTGCGTGTATCTTTTATAATTAAGAGTTTTCTCCAGATATACGCCCCAGAGTGGGATTGCTGGGTCACAGGGTAAGCCTATTCTATTTTAAGGAACTTCCATGCTGTTCTCCATAACGGCTGCACCAAACTGCATTCCCAGAACAGTGCAGGAGGGCTCCCTTTTCTCCACACCCTCTCCAGCATTTGTTATTTGTAAACTTTTCAATGATGACTATTCTGACCTGTGTGAGGTGCTATCTCATTGTAGTTTTGATCTGCATTTCTCTAATAATTAGCTATGTTGAGCACCTTTTCATGTATAGCAAGTAATATTAACATTGCTAATTATACAAATCCCCCCCAGGGATCTGAAAAAAGATTTTATTCACTAGCATAAAAGCCACTGTACTCATTATAATAAACTGTGGGTTTTCTAAGGCCAATTTTTTTTCCAAATGTCATAAAAACCTAGATTAATAAAAAATGAAGAACAATAGTAAAGAAAGAGACAGCACCATCTTACCTCACCAAGATAAATGACGATCTGGAAGAAGGTATCCATCAGCAAGATTCTGTCAGGCAGAATGCTGCTGCTGTCCAAGAGCACCGGCTGCAGAACAAGGGCCATGGTGTGGGTCCCCCTTGGTCCCACGCGGCACCCCCGCCTCCCCCACATTCAGTATGTTATTATGTGACATAAACTGAGTATTTCTTGGATTACTTCCTTTCCTACCTTTCCTACCATTGAACATTTAGATTGTTTTCTAATTTTACACCTCCTGTGACTTCTTCCTATGTCTATTTTTTAATACTCAGAAAAAATGTTAAATTACTATAAAGACCCAACTTTTACTAGTTTTGCTCTAAGATCGAACATGCTGAAAACAGTAACACATGTTCGGTGGTTCCGAGGTGGGAAACGCTGTACCTCTGGAGGCCCGTGGAAGGAGTAGGAGTAGAGGATGGGCTGGATCATGATGAGCGACTGGGTGAGGTCCTGCCGCGCAAAGTGGTGGCGGTAACACGACGACTCATCGGGGCTGTTGTTGAACACTTGAAGAAACGGAGATCTTCTAAGGTGGAACATGAACTGAAAAAGAGACGAGCGCGTGCAGCCGCAGCCTTCCCCGACCCCGACCCCGACACAGACCCGCCGTCAGTCCCTGAAGCAGGAGCACCCAGACTTTCAGAACAAGGCCTCTGGGGTCTCACGAGCAGAAACACGGTGGTACCAGGGGCCAGGGAAGAGGGGCCGGGGAGCTGGTGTTTACTGGGTACGGAGTTCAGTTTCATGAGATGAAGAAGTTCTGGAGACTCGCTGCACAACAACGTCAATGTACGTTTAACTAAACTGAACACTTAAAAATGGTTAAGACGGTTGATTTCACGTTATGGGTTTTTCACAATTAGAAATAAAAGTGATTTTTAAAAAAGAGGGGGCGCTCCTGGGTATGTCAAAGCTTCCACAGGAAAGGGGCAAGGCAAAGCCGCATTTATTCCTGGGGTCACGGGGCCGGGTCACGGGGCCAGGTCACAGAGAGGGGGTGCTGCTCTGAAGAGGTCACCGCCCGGGGGTTAAAGGCACACTTGGGGTGGCATGTTATGAGCCCCAGTACAGAAAGCACAAGGATGATGGGGTGGGGGTGGAGGGGCAGCAGGCGGCTCCCCAAAGCCACTGGGGTGTAAAAGATGTGCAAGGCGAAGCCAGGAGCAGGGGAGAGGCCAGGGGGGGCCCAGACGACAGGCGAGGGAGGCCGGGAGCGGAGGAGCGATGAGGGGAGGCGGCGACGACGACACGGGGGGGGGGGGGGGTGGGGCGGGCTCCTTCCGATCCGAAGGCCAGGGGAGGGCAGGGGGAGGGCGGGCTTCTAGCTCACGCTGCGGCCAGGTTGGCCAGGTGAAAACGAGCTGCCCTGAGGACACAGCTTCCCGAGCTGCTTTTGAATACAGTGAATCACGGGTTCCTCAGCAACCCCACTGACCTTGATGCCTCTTCTGTGCAGGGCACAAAGCCCTCGACAAGAATGATTTAACCCTCCTGATAACCCGCCCACCACCCAGTTTACGGGGGAGGACACCGAGGGGCCGGGCCGGCCCTGCTCCAGGCAGCCTGGTTGCAGACTGGCTCTGGCCCTCTCCCCTAGGTGCCTCGCAGAAGCAATCATAGAAACCATCTAACTTCAGTTTGAAACCGGGCTCTTCAGGGCCTTAGTGGATCCTCAGGCCCGGGGCGGGGGCTGGAGGGTGCCGCGGTGGGACCCAGTGAGTGGACGGTGGGTGGGCACCGCCCGAGCAACACCAAGTCTGTCCGCTCTCCGTGCTGGCTTCGGAGGGGGTCTTCCTGAAGAAAGGATCCCACGGCTGTAAAAAGGCTGCCAGTCTGCCTCCAGGCTTAACCACTGAAGTTAGATGGCTTCTCAGATTCCTTCTGCCTTTCAGTCACTAGTGGCCTGGAGCCACTTTTCAGACCAACTCCCTCCCTATAATGTAGGAACCGAAAACCACAAGGGTCTGGGGCCTCATCCCTGCCAGCAGCAGCAGAGCCAGCACTGGACCTCGGCCCCGATTCTGGCCCATCCAGGCTCCTTCCCCAAGGCCAGCCAGCCTCAACTGCCTGGGCACAGGCCAGAGGGGCACATATCAGGGACTACTGAGCCTCACCCTGGGCCAGGGATCAAGGGACGTGACCTCTGAAGCCCCTCTTGAACCCTGAGAGTCCAAGCAATACAAGTTCATGACTGAAACCGGTGTCCCCCTTCCGGATCGAGCATTCAAAAGGACAGACACATTTGTGTACCTCAGTCTTAGCAAGGTCACTTAAAAAATGAAAAATCTGCTTCTTTCTACTTATCCTTCACTGAGGCATCCTTGAGAGAAGGGGGAAAAACATTGGAGTTTGCCTCCAATTCCAGGAAGGCTGCACCCGTGAGGGCCCCACCTGAC